ACTTTTCTTTACAATCGGTCAGCTGCAAAAGTATTGGGAAGTAGCCAGTAGCGGGATGGTATTCTTAGCAGAGATATGGTATCGTTGAAGGTGAAGAAGAAAAGAGAATATTCATCTGTACCGTTTGTTCCGTGTAACGAGAATTTCCTTAGACTTTTGCACGAGTGACACTGTCCACTAATTACTTACTAAAACGACAAAGACACTGACTATCACAAACATTAATTGCTGGTGCTGCTATTGCTGCTGCTGCTGTCAGTACACGAATATTCGATATCCAAAAAAAAAAGAAAGAAAAACGCTATTGTCGAATCAAATTTTGTACAGAGCATCATGCGCGGGATCAAGTTGACTCGTTTATAACGCCCTGTTTTGTTTCTTCGTCCCTTTGTGTGTCTACGATTTTTCTCCTTCTCGCCCTTCTTCGGCCTAAGTATTTACTAACGACAACCCTTTCTTCGTGCTTCTCTCTCTGTCTCTCTTTCTCCCTCTATTTTTTATCTGTCTCCTTTCTTTCCCTCATTTTCTCTTTACGTCTTTACCTACCCCTCTTTCTCGACAGCCTTCTCTCTCTATTTCTGTCTCTACTTCTCTATACACAGCAATAAAGTACTCGAAGCGTAGACGTGTATCTCGTGTGTATATGTATGCATCTCGATTAGACGCATACGTATGTATTTTGTCAGTCTCTCTCTCTCTCTCTCTCTCTTTTTCTTACCTTTCACAAGTACACACGTTCTTTCTTGGATTGTGTATCTTTTTTTACTTCGTAGCCAAAACACGAAGCTTCTAGCTGTGTCGCTTATCAGTCAACGTGTAATACGTACATACTGTTTATATATCTATTCATATTACGAATATGCGTACCGGATCTATAGATAACGTTTATATACATATATCACGTACGTGTATGTATATAAACCTGTGTAACTCATTTTTCTTTAGTGTACGATAACCCAGACAAGTACTTAATGACTCGTAAACGTCTTAGCGGTAGATGTTTGTCTCTCTCTATTTTTTTCTTTCTCTCTGTCCCGATTTTTATTTTCCTCTCTCTCTCTCTCTCTCTCTCTCTCTCTCTCTCTCTCTCTCTCGTTCTTTCTCTCTATATCTCTCTTTCTTCCCCGTTCTCTTTCTCTCTCACTGTCTCTCTGTCTGTATATATATATGTATGTATATACTTCACACGTACACCTGTTTGTATGTATGTACATATATGTATACACGTACGTATATACTTCTATCTTTTTACCTTTGATTTTTAACCCTTCTGCATCAAACGTACTTTTTGTCGACCGTCGTCTTACCAAGTAGGTATTATACTGCCCTCCGCTTTTTATCTGCGAGATTACCGATGCTGTCGTGTACATATTATTATTATTGTTATTATAATTAGTATTATTATTATTATTATTTTTATTATTATCATTATTTCTAATATTCGCTGTTATCATTTTCACCGTTACTAGTGTTATTATTATTACGATTATAGAAATTATTATTATTATTATTATTATTATTATTATTATCATCGCCGCTATTATCATTTCCGTTGTTTTTACCACTATTATCGTTATTATCATTGCCATTATTATTGTAGTAGTTACTGTTATTATTCTTACGATTATTATTATTATCGTTGTTATATACCGCGCGTATATACAAGCGACTGTGCGATCATAGTTGATATTGATTCGAAACGGAAAGAAAGTAGCGCGCGATTCGTGTATGCTTTACGCTGATCGACAGAGAAGCAACGACGAAGGGAAAAGCAGAAGAGAAAAAAGAAAAAAAAAAAAAAAAATGAAAGGAAAAGCGACGAGACCCCCGAAACATTTTGTCACCCCCACCCCCTCTCGTTGTCTTTCGTTGTAATTTTGTACCGCCAGCCTGGTATTTATACCACGTAGATTTCTGATTTACTTATTACGTATGTAGGTCTATGTTTACCGTTTCATCTTCGAAGCTGCCAAAGATCAGTATACACGTATATCGTTCCTTGCGAATCACCTTACATTATACTTAGCAATGCAATGCGCATGGTGCAAGCAGACGTGTCACGTCGATGTCGCCGTGTGGAGGTTGAAATTCATGTAAATTTTTAGCTAGTAACTCGCTCCAATTATTACGCTCTAATTAGCCACGATCTCATCGTCATCTCATCGTACGTTTTCTTTCGCGCCATCGACTCCTTTTATCTTTTCGTCGTTATTATTGTATTACTCATACGTTACATTCTGATTTACCCATCGCGTTCAAGGTGTCTGTCCATGCGAAATTATTTCCACCATGTCAGAGGGAAGCGTTTCACATGATCATTTCCACGGACGTACATCTTGAGCGGAATTTCTTTCTTTCGTAGATAAAATATGGAGTTTTTATTTTTATTACAACCTGGCACGTTTTGTCACACGACTCGGATTACGTCGAATTCCGAACCGAATTCAACGAACCTGAAACTCCATGAACGAATAAACTTTAGATCTCTCGAAAGATGACAGAACGCGTGCTGTCCATGTGGCAAGACGTGCCCGCGGTTTGCTTGTTTGTCTCTGACTTAATTTCGCAGTTGTTCACGCGCATCACTGAACGATCTTTCATTTCCGTTAACGTGTGGGCCCTTCGACCCTGTCGTAGAGCGTGGACGTCGCAGCGAACACTCTGACGATGTTAGACCATCAAGGCGGTAAGCAGTTCCCTCAGCAATAAACAAACAGAAATCAAAAATGAATATCGAAAAATAAAGTAAATTCTTTCTCGAAGAATGAATCGAGAATATTCGAAATAAAATAGAAAAAAAAAAAAAAAAAAAAAAAAAAAAAAAAAAAACAAAACAGAAAGGCGAGAGCAAAGTGACGAAAAATGAAAAGAAACAGGACATGAAAAAAAAAAAAAGGAAAAAAGAAATACAAAGTACGGACGAACAAAGTTTTTCAATTCACTCGAATGGTTAGACGAAATTTTTTTTTTTTTCTCATTTCGAAAAGAACAGTAGAGAGAAAAAAGAAAAAAGAAACCTGATTTTTTGTCGTACACTTTTCACGGTTTGACGGGGCTAGTTGGTTCGAAATAGGGCACACTTTGACACGATTTTGCGCGTAGCATTCGGTGTTGTTCGTGTCGTATCGAAGTTAACGAATCGCGATTACAAATTCTGCCGATAAAATGGATTATTCGATTTTCCCGCGCGCGCGAGTTCTTTCGCAGTGGAACGACACTTGAACCGATTCGAGTTGCGTGAAAAATCAATCGAGTTAATTGAATCGACTCACGGTTCCGAGACTCAATTCGACCCTCGACTTACTTGAGAAGGAAGAAAGCTAAGAAAAAGTGGAAAAGAATAAAGGGTTTGAGCTTTGCTTCACATTTTTGGGAAGGATTAACGATGGATTAACGAAAAATGGACCAAGGACTGATTAACAGCACGACTACATGTACCGACTATAGATGTATATTTCTGCCTGCCTATTCGGGAACTGATCGCGCGTTTATCTCTGGTTCTGATCTCTTTTTCTGTCCTATAGCTAAAACAACCTTCTAATTCTGTATCTTACAGCGCCACGGTACTCTGAGTGCCTATACTGGAAACGAAGCGTGTCTTTTCTTCCTTTAATCTGCTTCTACGCCTTTGTCTGCTCCTATTTAACATTCGACTTCTCGCATCATCGCCACCGCGCCACTCGCCCTTAATTCGATTCGGTTCATCGATTAAATCCATTTTGTTCTCCCCCATCCGTTCATCCCCTCACTTACTACTTTATCGTAGACTCGATTATCCAGCTCCTTGACGAGACTTCAAGCCACCCTCCGTGATAACAGAAATATATTAGAGCGTGTAACCAAGTTCTGCCGCTAGTACTGCTGTAGTAATTTTTAACTGGCTAATTTCTTTTGCTCTTGGAAATTTCACAGATCGACGTGTAAATCAATAAATCCCCAATGTATCCAATAACAGAGTTCTTCGATCCCCGGGAAGCGTTGGATTTACCAACCGCTCGACGATCCACGATCCTACCGAAGATCGTTATCCTGTCGCTTCTGCGCTTCGAATCCGAATCCGAATTCGAATGATCGTTGAAAAGATCACCGAGATTCGTCGTTCTTTCTCCTCCGAGAGTTTCTATTTCCTGGGACTGGCTCTTTCGCTTCGGATGGTTCGTTCGTTGTAATCCGAGAAGCAGAGAAGCGACTAGAGGACGATGTCTGTTTCGCGTTAGACGAACGCTCCTCAGCCTGGCTGGAGCAGATTGTACATCGGAGAGCATTTGTCGCGTGATTTTCTCGATACATCCGACACGTTGTTCCGGTGTCGTCTCGCAGTTGGTAAATCCAACTGCGCATTGATTCTATTCGCTGTCACGTATAAAAGAATATCCCAGTCCTCCAGCAGCCTGACCCGCAATAGAATTAATAATCAGGATAAAATATCGTCGTACGCGCCCTCTCGCTCCTCCGATCGGTAAATCGTCATTGGGATGACGGACGAAAGAGTGCATAGGTGCTATCCACGATGAATCCGACTTCCTCGGCCAGAGAGAAAGTCGAGGGAAATGCGCAGAGTGAGAAGGAATGGGAAGAAAAAGGACAGGGACGGAAAAGTGGAGTGGAGAGAAGAGAAGACGGGGAACAATGAACACTGCCAGGTGTGGCCGTGTGTTACCTAGCCAGACACAGAGACAGAGAGGGTGGTCGGAGGGCTGTGAATTAGTAGTTCGATCAACCTGTTAACTCGCTGTTTGCCCGTCCTTTTTTCTCTAGAGGGTCTCTCTGGGTAAAGAGGGTTCGTGGACACAGGGCGGTCCGATTCCTCGTTGGTTAGCGTCCGAAGTAAAGAAGTTGAAAAGGGACACTCGCTTGCCTGTTGGACCCGTTGTGGTTCCAGCAACGGTGTCAGACGCGACTAGAAAAATGTTCTCGTGGAGCGAAGCGAGGGAGCGTTTCGACGGTGCTTCCTGTACCTCACGTTTAACACGCCGCTGATTGGTCGGTTGCCTGTTTAGAGCCACGTGGTCGGGATGAAAACCCTCGTAATGCTGGACGAGCAAGGCGGTAAGCCATTTCAATCTAGACATACAAACATTAAACTTACGTAAAAACGTCTCTTACAAAGAAAAAAAGAAAAAAAAAAAAAAAAGAAACTAATTTATCTGGTCTCGACTGACACAAAAGCAACGATCGACGACCAATTCTATATGTATTCTATTATATGTTCTCCATACGTTCTCCACCCGCCGTAAAAAAAAAAAAAAAAAAAAAAAAAAAAGAAACTAATTTATCTGGTCTCGACTGACACAAAAGCAACGATCGACGACCAATTCTATATGTATTCTATTATATGTTCTCCATACGTTCTCCACCCGCCGATGTATATAATATTTATATATAGTTATTATATGTGTATAGTTATTATATATAGATATTATATATGTATGCATACGACACTAATTGCGTGCAATATCGTCCAGACACTGTGCAACCCCTGTATGTCGAAATTAACTTTCGATCGAACGGTCGATTACTAACCAAAAAGCACCAAAAGACTACAGATTCGTTCTTTCGACATCTCTTCACATTCCTTCAACGTTCAGATCGTTTACGTTCGAGTAATCATCAGTTACTTTACTCCCCCTTGATCTTACGTTTCTCTTCCCTCCAATATTGCATCTTGTTTAAATGCCTTGATCTCTATCACCCTTACCCGGCCATATTTCCCTTCTCTTGCATTCTCGATTCTCTCCTCGATTCTTCCTCGCTCTTGTCTCTCTTCGATCATCGCTCTGCTCTCTTCCACTGCCACCTCTCGTCCTGTGTTTCTCTCTTTTCTCTCAAACTTCCTCTGCCTCTCTGTCTCTCTCTCTCTCTGTCTCTCTGTCTTTCTCTCTTTCTCTCTCTCTCTCTCTCTCTCTCTATCTCTCTCTATCTCTGTATCTCGTTTATTCTCTTTTTCTCTCTGCGTCCTATCGTTCTCCCCGCCTGCTTCCTCCTACTCTTAACTCCGCTTCCTTCCGTGAACGTAATCTCACGAAGGCGAACGAACAAAAACAGAGAAATACAGAAACAAAACAAGTAGACGAACAAACAAACAAAAAAGAAAAAAGAAAAAAAAAAGAAAACAAACAAACCGAAAACAGGAGAAAAAAAAAAAGAAAAAAGATCCAAAAAAGAATACAGATGTAATCGGGTCGCACGACACGCGCTCCACGTTTAAACGCATCCCTCCGGTACTTCCGGCACGGTGTAAGTCAAACCTATTGCAATCTACTACTATATTTGTTGACCGGCACATTTGCATCAGCGCGTTACTCTACGTAAATATATTTGGTTCAATTCGTACCCAGTACCCTTAGAATCCACCGTACACCCCAGTACATACAGAATTACTCACCCGATCTTAGGATCTTAGGATACCCTTAGTAGGGAGACTCTTTGCTTAGCTGTTGCACTTTCGTTGCACTCGTTTTTTTCTTTCCCGAGGATCCTTCGTCGAGAGACAGATTAATCTGCTAACATGACTAAATGTACCAGTTGTCCGATCGAATTTCACCATATTTTATTTATGTTTTCTTTCTTGAACATAGAGCTTTGTAACGTAGTTAGAACTACATGACGATTATTAAACTAGTAAATGTCCATATGGCGAATCTCTCGATGAACCCTCGTAGAGTATTATAAAACCACTGATCGCCATTTGGGATGAGAGAATAGAGCCTCATACGTGTCGCTATCTGTTTCGCGATTTTTTGAAAGACAACTCAGTACAGTTGATGGAATTAATCGTTCGAGAACGCTCTATTCTCTGATAACGCGAAAAATGACGATTCATTTCAATTTTTGAGAATAAAGTATCTAATCCTCGAAAGAGAATGGGACAGCGTGTTCCTTTGTTCTTGTTTTCCTTTATTCTCGAGTATTCGGTTTCTTAGCAAATGAATTTTTCTTTGGTTACTTACGAGCGAGGCGTAGAGTACAGCGACGCGTGGGATTTATTTTCGCGTTGGCTGTCTGTTCTCTTTCGAGATGACACGTTGGTAATGCTACAAGGAGGATTATAACGTTGTTTTCTCGTACGATGAAATAGAACAACTGGACAGAATCGAGGAGGGTATGGACCAAATCAACGCCGACATGCGCGAGGCCGAGAAAAATCTCACCGGAATGGAAAAGTGCTGCGGTCTCTGCGTTCTTCCATGCAACAAGTAGGGCTGTCCCGAATCGCTTTACCCTTCTTAACCTTTCAAATCGAATCTTTCATTTTGCAGCGCACTCTCTAACCGAGCAATTTTATCCTCGATCTTAACGTTTCGCTTCAAACTCGATTTCCGAAAGCAAATGTAAATTTTCGTAGCCTCCTGTGAAACTGAAATTTCTTTCCGCTCTTTGTAAACTCGTAACCGGTTACTTCAAAGTTCTAGAGACGAGAGAAACGTTTGAAGCAAAATCTCAGAAATATTTCTTTCCTCGGTATGCGTACGTGTGTCTTTTTTTTCCAGTCGTGTCTCGCGTTCAGGATTTGCTAACGAAACGTTGTGCATTCGTACAGGGGTGCCAGCTTCAAGGAAGACGAAGGCACGTGGAAAGGAAACGATGACGGTAAGGTGGTTAACAACCAGCCCCAACGGGTGATGGACGATCGCAACGGGCTTGGGCCCCAGGGCGGCTACATCGCCAAGATCACGAACGATGCTCGTGAGACAGAGATGGAAGAGAATATGGGCCAGGTGAACACGATGATCGGTAATCTGAGAAACATGGCGATCGACATGGGCAGCGAGCTGGATAACCAGAACCGGCAAATCGACAGGATTAATCGCAAGGTGAGGAAACGATTCGCGTGTCCTCGATCCACTCGGATCGACGAGTCAGACTTGAGTTCAGAAGAGTCACCGAATCGGCAACCTTCAGACTTTTCTCTCTCCGTTTCGTTTCTACCTGTTTGCGTACTTCTGATTAACCGTTCGAGTCCCAGAGGGGTTTTGAAAAAACACTGTCGAAGAATCCCAAGCAGCGTGCCAACGTTTCTTCTATTTTATGTCGAGAAGACCCAAGCATACCAATGAAATACAAAATGTTTTATTTTGTAATGTATTACTGCACTATTATTATAGTATTGTACCTATTGTAAAATGTATTATTCGCATTAACCCATTTGCATCATGGCTCTACTTAAGGTGCCGTGTTGAGGCATCAGCGACGTTCAATTGACGACTAGCCCGTATCACCGCGCGCCTATCAGCACCTCTACTCATAATGGCAGTTAAAAGGATTTTCACGACAAAAGTAAAACTTGTTAAGAATATAACGAACCGATGTAGACGAGATGCTCGCAAAAGCGATCAAACGTGATCTGTGGCATATGAAGAATATTCAGCAACTGGTAATGGAAAAAGTCAGCTCGCGGATTATTCCGCGCTCGGTGATAGACGACAGTCGTAGCTCGCGGAATATTCCGCGCTTGGATGCAAATGGGTTAAAAGAAGGAGCTGTGTGATGTACTTGCGTCAGTGACTTCGACAGTCGATGACGCACCATCTGCTGTCGAGAACGCTCGAAATAGACTGGGTTTTCTCGACATGAAATCTGAACAGCGCGATCGCGCCGCTTGGGACTCGAACGGTTAACATGCCAGTGATCTCCTTGGCTCACCAACGAGATCGTTTGTCGCGGATTCGTGAGAGGAACGAGCAAGGTCTGAGGTAGTTGAACGAGTTGTTAATTGAAATGATGATTACAAATACGTACGATTAGCTCCGCTATATTTTTTCTTTCCACGGAGCATGCGTGGATTATTTATCTCACGATGCACGCGCTCAGAGCGATGCACAACACGTTCGTTGTCGCTTTCGCTTTCTTACATGCCCTTCGATTTGCCTCACCGTCCATGTTTCCCTTCGTTCCTGGCGCGGTCCCAAAAGTCGACTCACGTGTCCCCGGGAATTCCGTTTCGTCCTCTCGCGTCCTATAACGATCTCTTGCTACACCTTCTTTCGCTCTTGATCGGATCACGAACGAGAAAACTGGCGCACGGTGGATTAAGATAAAAGATAACGCGAATGGAACTCGCGTGAAATTGTTGCGCGTAAAGACTCGAAGATTCGGCTTGGTCCCGCGTGAATGTTAATGGTTCCTTCGATGGTTGTCCGATAACGAGACTTCTGGCCGCCGACGATGGGCAACGTGTCGTACCGAGTATACGTCCCTCTTGGTAGAAGTTTCTGTCTCCTCTTACCTGCACCTTACCTCCTCGTACATGCACCTCTCTTCCTCGAGTCATTCCTCAACTTAGAGTCGACCTCAGAGTCGAGATTATCTCTCTCTTTTCAGGAGAACGCATTCGACAGAACGTTCTCTCTATTTCTATATATATATATATAAATATATACACATTATTTTTTGTATTGGCACGGAAATTCTATTTAACGAAGACGAAACGATCGCCCGCACCATTGGCAAGCAATAGAAACGGGATACACGTATGCCCGTTGTTCAGAGAGTAATTAAAAAACGATTGTTTCGTTTTCGCGTTAGCATGCGTACGCACGTGCACCGCACGACTAGCCGCCCCTTTAATTAACCCCTTCTCGTCATCGCACCACCAACGTCATCCCTCTTTCTGCCACCCTCACGGGCTGTCTCCTGTGTTCGGCCATATTGCAATCACGAATTTGAAAAAGAAAGCAACGGAAAAAAAGGAAAAAAAAAGAGAAAAAGAAAAGTTCGATAGAACACGCCGAGGAAAGTGGATGAAAAGAAAGCAAGAAAAAAAGAAACAGATGGAAAATAACTGCACCTAATATATAGCTATCGGTCGATCCTGACCGTGTCTCACACGCTTTGTTGCCCCTTTTTCTGTCTTTCTCTATTTTTGTCTTTTCTTTCTCTGTTTCTTCTTGCCTTACGTTCGATTGAAGATTCTCTATCTTGTGCCACCTTTGACCAAATCCAAACTATGATAATCCGCAGGGCGAGTCAAACGAAACGAGGATAGCCGTGGCGAATCAGCGTGCGCACGCTCTACTCAAGTAAAATGCGTCTCTCTGCCCACGTACCCGTCTCCTCCGAGCCCCAAATAGTCAAAAAAAAAAAAAAAAAAAAAAAATATATATATACATATATATATATATACACACACGTATATATATATCAGCTCCAAAATATTGTACGCTCACACGCCCACGACCCCTTCTTCTTCTGCCTTCTCGTCGTCGGTCGGACACCGCCAACCCGTCAACCCAACTCGTGTCTCCAACTCGATCCACCTGTTTGTGCTACAACGAAATCATCGAGCCTTCCGGTTACATCGATTTATATATTACGTCTGTCTTATGTCTCGTGTACTTAGTGCAATCTCCCTTTATATAACGTCGTTCAGTTTTGTATCCCCTGTAAATCGCGTCATCTTTTTTGCCGTTGTCGTCGTGCCCAGTTCGTTTCTACTTTACGGGTAATTATACGTATATATATATATATATATAGTTATATACATACACGTTATCTATACATAACACGAACGACGTTGATATTAACATTTAACCTTTCGCAATCTTATTTGTCGGATGAAACCCCTGAGGATCGTCGCCGCGCTCGTCGTTGTCGCAAACGACCGTGTACGAGTTCTGTTTCTTCCTTCGCGTTCCCTTCGATTCGATTAAATATTCAATATGCCTCTCCCTCTCGCGTTTCATCGGGGAATCGTTTTTTTCGGTATCGTTTGAATAATTCCATCGATTCGCCGATCCGGGGCAAAATTTAAACGGCAGAGGAGCGAAAGTGCTCGAGAACGAAGTAGAACGAGTCAACGACGACGACGACGACGACGACGACGACGACGACGAACCCGAGCGAGAATAGAGCCGCAGAATAATCGAAGTTAACGAGGTCGACAATAACATGATCTTGATACACGCTTGAGTTTGGGTTACGATCTTTCGTTTGTTTGTTTTTTTGGCACGCAGGGCGAATCGAACGAGACGAGGATAAAGGTGGCCAACGAGCGAGCCCATCAGCTACTCAAGTAAGGCCACTCTCGACCACCTGCACCCCGTCGGCCACCAACAGCACCAAATACTACCCATCACCACAATCACAACCACCACCACCACAACTACACTACTATCGACAACAACAACAACAATAACAATAACAACTACAACACCAGTGTCTACAATTAAGCCAGGACTATCAGATACAGACACACAGTCGGTTACTCGGTTACTCTCAGTTACTCGTGCTCGTGTAGTTTATTTATTACGATTTACTTGTACCTCGAATCATAGTAAACACTTAGTAGAGACGAGTTGACGAATAGGCGATCGAGAAAAACAAGAAAAGAAACGAATGGCACGGTTCTATACGTTCTTTTTCCGTCCTCCGTTCGAATAGTATCGTTTTTTCGTTCTTTTTAATTTTAGTTAGCGAATATTAGCAGTTAGTAGTCGCGTATGTTGTAGGAAACGCCTAGAGAGAGAACCATTCTCATCGGCTTTCGTACACTTTTGCTCGCAGTTAGTTAATCTACCGTTGCTCCTTCGACGCCGTCAAAGAGTTATTGCGTTCTGGGAAATAAATTGTACCGTTATATATTGTTGTACGTTTTATTTTCAACGAACGTGCAAAGTAAATTCTATTTCAATATATCGCTTGTACTGTCTTCTGTTACTACTACCATCCAAGTAGCTCGATACTTTAGCGACTGTATACGTTCCTTTCGCCACACTTTCGTTTACTCGTTTTGCATTCGTTTCGCAATTCAGCTAATACCATCGTGTGGTCCTTCCACGAACCTACTCGGGCGTACCTACGAACATCATCTTTAACCCTTAAGAGGGCAAATTTTCATCTCTAACTTTAGAATATCTAAGACAGAAAATTAGAAAAAGAGAAACAAAGAGTTAGTTTATTTACGATTAATATTTACACGTAACGAAGATGCCGACGCGAGACAGCGTCGCCAAGTCAATTCAGTGATCCGGTAGAGTTTTTTAAAAGACGAGCGCAGACGTTTACGCTAAAGTATAAAAAAAAGGAAAAAAAAAGAAAAAAAAGAAAATAATAACGAAGAGAAATAGAGAACAAACGTTAAAATAAAAAAAAAAAGAGCAAGAATTTTTTCGTCTTAATTGCACGTTTATCCAAGTTCTTCCTCTCGTGATATAGCGTTTACACTTTTAACGATTTATCTAAAATGTTTCTAAAATAAGAAGAGTATTACCGAAAAAAAAAGAAAGGAGAAAAGATGAAAAAAATGTAAGAGGGAATAAAAACTAGAAATCCTTTAGCTGAAACGAAACGCGTCGAGTATCGTGCGCCTGTTTAAGGGTTAAAGATTACCCACAGTTTACGAGAACAGAAGCATATACACTGGAGATGACAACGTCAGTTGTGTACAGGAGCGCGCACACGCTGTAGTTCTTTGCATCGTTATACACACACGCGTGCACGTGCGCGAATCGGGACGATATTATTTACATACACTATTTACGAAAATCGTAATTTCTTTACTTTTTAAACCAGATGATGGAAGAGATGCGAGAAAGAGAGAGCGAGCGAGAGAGAGAGAGAGTAGTGTAGATCGCACAGCGTGTGGGAGTGCACACGTGAACGATACATACGCACAGCGAGCCCCCCTAGGTAATACATACCATGTAATTTGTTATCACGATTAGCGTTACGACCAAAAATATCCGTGTACAGTAGATCGATACGTAGGTAGACACCAGAGGCGTGTGTGTGTGTATGCCGGAGCACACGCGCGTGTCCCGCGGTAATTCGAAGCAGCTAGTAGGTCGTAGCGAGCGTGCTAGCCGAGGAGCAGCCTCGAGATATATCTGTATGTACGAGATACCATGTTCGAAGACACGAACGTATATCAAATGGATCGAGGGAGTTTGCCGTTAAGTGGCAAATAATATTAGGTTCCTCCCGAAACGGTCGAGTTATCCGCTTATCTTTTTCTCGATACGTACCACGTTTCATGTAAGAACATCGTGCGATCAACGAATATCTCGCTTCCTGAGAGAACTCGAGAAACCGGAAGGGATCACGACGAGAACGGGACAAGATTAAAGCGGAGGAGGAGGACGTTTAGCGCGGCAGCGAGTCGAGGACTACGGAGAAGAAAGGAGAGGAAAGAGGATGCTCCGTTGTTTCTCCTGGTATGTAAAGGAGGAGAATGAGAGCAATGGGTGGAGAAGGTAGAAGAGAGGAAGAGAAAAGGAAAGACGGAGACACGAAAGTGGGAGAAGATTTGATAATCAAAGCAACGAAGAGGACGTACTCGCGAGGAAGCTTGGAAGAAAGGGTGAGGGGGAAGGAACGAGATGGGAGAATGCGCGAAACGGAATGGGAAAGCGCGAGAATAGGGAAGAAAGGAAGAAAGGCGTCAACTGTATAGATAGAATTTTGTTCATCGTTTTATCTGTCGACTCACCATAGAGCGTAGATCGATTCCGTTTCTTGCGGTCCCGCGCACGCTCAACGCGCCGGGGTTGTCACTGTAAGGTTTAACTCCAAAATGAGAAGAATTGCAAGATTAGTAATACGCAGCAAATAGCGAACGAAGATGCAGCAAAGGGCAGACGAAGATTGTACATTATTGTATTTACACGAAGCGAAGTACCTCTACTTTGTATTGTACGAGAGCGAGAGAAAGAACGAACGATTGTAAATCCATCGCACGTCGTGTCACCACGGTGCCGAGGTATTCCCTCAGTTCGGTTTATGTTTCGTGGTCTTCGAGTACCCACGTCGTAGATATTTGTCTCTTACCTCCGACCACCATCTTCTTTTTATACGTATTCGCTTTTTGCACGCAATCCGTCTGTAATCGATCTTTAGTCGATTTTCCGTTTCTCTTCACTCGAAACCGCAACACGCAAACGCGAGGAAGTAGCGAATTGTAACGAAAAGAGAAATAGAAATGACGTGGTTACGGATCAGACCCACCAGTACCGCAGACACGGGATGTTTCTCGATGCAGCTGTCAGCCTTAACAGTATTCGCATCTTTACACTTACCTCTTTAGCTTTAAGGAGAACGCATAGAGACAGAGAGCAAAGATACTGTCAGCGCTGACGTTGGACCCCCCGCCCCCCTCAGTAGTATCAAAATTAGTCTGTAGCAAAAAGAGAACGAGCGAGAGAGCGAGCGAGAGAGAGAGAGAGAGAGAGAGAGAGAGAGAGAGAGAGAGAGAGAGAGAGAGAGAGTGAGCAGATTTTGACGCGCAGATCTTTTTACGTAGACCGCGATCAGTGAGCAAGATACGTGTGTACCGTATTTAGTATATCGTCAATAAGCATGGTGATTTCGATACACGTACTTCGTACTCTTCATGTAAACTTTTTTCTGAATTTAACAAATTAATCATATATATATATATATATCGATATTGTATAAATATTGTAAAGGGTACCGCCTTCGAGCCGTGCGCCGTGTTAAGAATCGAGCACAAGGAAGAAAGGAAATATATTACGCGTAGCTCCTTTCGATTTCGCTTGTTCGTTTGCTTTTTTTCATTGAGATAACAATGAAACCGTGAGAAAGAGAGAGAGAGAGAGAGAGAGAGGATCGATGGATCGAAAAATCCTTGGACGCTTCGCCGGACGAACGTACCAGGAGGAACAAAAGAGAGAGAGAGAGAGAGAGAGAGTGAGAGAAAAGAAACTTGATGAACGAGGGAACAGAGCAAATGAATGAATGAGAGAGAGAGAGAAAGAAAGACACACACAGAGAGCAAATGCGTGACACTGGTGACGATGATGATTCTGATTATTACTCGAGATCGTTAGGCCTATCGTAATTATTTACTTTGACAGAGGAGAGATATACAGAAAATTATAAATAGGTATAAATATATATATAAAGATTATATATATATGATACGAACATATACATGCATATATGTATGGAACGAGCGCGGTGAGCCCCCTTCTTATGTAGACCTTTAAAGAGGAAAAGAAGAACAAAGAAAGGGAGGAAGAGCGAAAGGGAGAGAGAGAAAGAGAGCGTGAGAGAAAATTGGATGCAAGAGGAGGCTACCTTATTCGCGAGCGGATAATGTTGTTATATTATCATAAATATTATATATATATATATATTATACAATACGAAATCGAGCAATATTGTGTTGTTACTTCGTCGTTAACATTTATCACCGCCTATTCGAAGAATTATGTACCTATTTTACAAAGTAATCCCTCGTATTTGAACGAGTAACTCATATCGAACCTATTATGGGTCTATGTGGTACGCGTACTTTTAAATACTTATTCACACAATTGTATAGAACACGCAGATTTAAGTAGATAGATGCGTAGTTAGAGGAAATAGAGGAAGTAGCTGCAGAGAAGGGAAACGGTTCACGGTGTGAATGAGAGATCGAGTGAACGAGAAGACATATGATAGGCTGAATAATTGAACAGCAGCTTCCCTGAAGCGGGAAACTGCACGAACAGCGACCACAGCAAACAAAAATTGAAAGGGGAGAGACGAAAGCTCGTGAAAAATCGCTCGCGATCCGTTCGGAGATCCGCTGTTAAAGTATTGTTCTGTTTTGGTTGATATATTCTAAAGTTTACGCGATTGCGCGCTGTTTTTCTCGAGTTAGCACGGTGTAAAAGAGAAAAGAGAAAGAAAAATGGAAGACTTTATCTTTCGACTGTCCCCTGACGACAAGTTATCGCGGTGTAGCGCGTATTGTAATGCGAGACGATGAGAACTGCGTGTATCGACGTCTAACGTTTGCAATAACAGAGTAAGAGCGCGATGATTAACACAAATTGGGACCACCGTGCAAAAGTGCAAGGTGCCGAGACGAAAACGACCACGGCGAACGGGTTCCAAGCGCGACGTCGTCGATCCTTTTGTTCTTTGACTTCGACGGACGTCGACCTGCTCGTCCGCCGGTCGCTTTCCGATCCTTTGAAGCGAAAAACAATGAAACGAGCAATCGCGAATATTCAGTAGAGTAAATACGAAGCCTGACGAAGAAGTAGAACAAACGACAAACAAAAACAAAGTATAAAGAAACACAAAGATGGTAAGAGACAGAGAGGAGGTAGGCGAACATTGTAAAGTATTTGGTAAACAGACAAATGATGAAAAATCAGCTTCTCTCTTTTTAGTACCGATATATTGTCGCTAGATGTATTACAGAGATGTAAGAAGTATTCTTCGGCAGTACCATTATAACAAATGCCTGTGTATTTTACTTCTCGGTAAATAAACCATCAAGTATTGTACGAGTGCGTTTCTTCGCGTTTCTTCACCCTGGATTCTCTTCGACGACACCTCTGCTACCAGGTACCATTCCCTACTCTCTAGTTACTCTACTTATATTTACATTTTTACATCCGCTCATATGTCACATTTTTCCTTAAAGATTACTACGGAAACGTTTTACAGAGGATTGCCTGGAGGCCGAATCACCGAGGCTGGACGGATTTAGAAACCGGAGTAGATCGATCCCAAGACACGTAATCTCCTCTCGAACAGTCCCTATACCGTGAGAACGCGGTTCCCACGCGAGATTTTCCTCGAGCCGAGGTACAAAGCTTTCGAGTATCCTCGCGAGTCTTCACGAGAGATCCGCGAGAAGAGCTTGAGCTTCGCTGAACAGGACGATTGCAGATGCTGCATTGTCGTACCTCTCGTGGCAACGTCTTTGTTCCACGATTTCTCACTGAATTTCTAGTCCATGGACTCAACGGAGGCGAGGGTGGAAGAGGAGGAGCAGGAGCAGGAGGAGGAGGTGGAGGAAGGGGAATAGAAGGTGGAAGATCAGATGGAAGATGAAGAACAGACGACGAGATTGGACGCGTTTGAGATACTGATCGATTATGCTTCTCGAAGTCTGCCAGTAAGCGATAAGAAGGTGGAACGTTGTTGCATCGGATCCTCGCTAGGATGTTGCTCCGTTTGCTGTCCAGGTTCTTCTGAATTTTGGGAGTACAGAAGTTCCTCGACTCCCTTTGAGCTCGCACAGCCTCTCTCCTTGCTAGAGTGTGTTGAAGAGTACCACGAAATCTGTCGTAAACGTCCGTTGAGCTGAGCTTTGAGCGAATCCTCTTATCCGAGTAATTAGACGTTAAATTGCTGCGAGAATAGTCTGCTCCTCCACGCTCTCTGTGCTGGGTACCCCTATCGTTACGTTCCCAAAGGTTGCCAAACTTTTCCAACACCTTTAAGCGTCTGCCAGAGTTCTGATTCGGGATTACGTTCGGGTTAAATAGACGGTCGACGTTTGCTTCCACTCTGGAAGATTCCGAAGGCACGATGTCCTTAAGAAACTGGTCTCCTTCGCTTTCCATGTCAAGGGTCACTACGAACGGGGGTGGCGGTGGCGGAGGTGGAGGTGGCAGATTTGTCGTGGACGAATTGGTTGGTAACAACGAGAAAACTGATAAGCGATCTTTCTTCACGGCACCCTCGGACCTTGTTACGCAGTTCGAAAGCAGACCTTTTTCCTCCTCTGGCGTTTCCTCTTCATCGTCGACGTTCTCCTCGATCCGACGAGCACTTCTATTCTTCCCTCGCGAGTTACTTGAAAAGAAAGTAGGTCTAATAACAGGTAGGCTTTTCGATTTCGCGGAGATCTTCGAGCGAATCTTCGTTAAAACTTTTATATTACTCTTCCGGTTCTGACGACGCTGCGTACTTATTTCCTCACTGTCCAAACTTTTCGAGAACAAACGGGACAACTTTCGTCTCGATCGTTTCCTCTGCGGATGCAGTTGCTCGCTCTTCTCGTTTACACCAAAGTCTCTCGGCTTGAAGAATATCCAGACACGATAACGACTCTTTTGCGGTCCTATGCACAGTTCGTTGCTGTAGGCAGTTTGCAGTAATCGAGACATAAACGACAGGATCACCTAAAAGCGAAAGATCAAAGTTTGTAAAAATGTCCCAAGCAATGTCCAACTTTATTCTTCGTTATACGTACCTGGTACAGGGATAGGAGAGCAAGGTACCCTGCCAAGAACGTTCTGATAACTTCTCCCCGCTCTATGATCCTCGACCTGCAACCTCTGGTAGCGATGGTCAGATACTTTGGATTGTAATTGTACACTGCACTGGGACTCAGAATGTCGTGATGGACGCAAGGTTTAGGGATGTCATTGGAGCAACAGGAAAAGGGTACATCTACAGGCGCAGTGGTTTCTTCCTCTCGCTCTTCTACCACCGATCTTTATCACAGAATTAAGGAACGAGATATTGAAGCAGGTTGATCACAAGCTTACCAAAGACTGCAATGCCTATCGTTGACAGAAAGGACAGAAAACCGTAAAAACGCAATTGGTTCGATTATACCCACTGCTCTTCCAGTCGAGGACCGTTCTCCACGTCCTCCGGCCCCTGTATCGAGAGCTTCAGCCAAGGAACTCGAAACCAATCTTCGTAACTATCATCCCCGCAACACTCGAGTTCCGTCTGAACAGCGTCCACCCTAGCCTTCGCGGTGACATCGCTGCCATACTTCTCGATAGCCTCCATCAAGCCGTCACGACTTTTCTGCTGAAATCCGCTTAAGAGAATCAAATAAGTCGCGTTCAAGACTGCCACCAAGAAGCCTGATAGCAGACAGGCAACCACGTGGAAGAACAGAAGACGATTAACGTCGTGAGGATCCAAGCTATCGTCAACTTCGCGCTGATCCTCTAGGTTGCTCCTGGCTGGTTCTAGCTTCAGGCACAGCCAGCACTTTACTCCCAGGATGTAGGCAGGGGAACAGCACACCACAGCCGAGACTATCACCGCGGTCCATACGTGACCGTCACCTGCTCGTCATGATCTGCACGTTAACCCATTCAAATAGACGACACGCGTCACGCGAATTTGAAAAGATTCGTATGATCACCGTGGAAAATGAAGAACGTTCTTAGTCGTTCGTAGCGATTTCATTTCTGCTCGAACCTATCATTCGTATCAAAGATCATTGGCAATTTTTTGGTCGAATAAAGTACCACGTGACAAAGCATACCTAATGGTACCTTAATCCCAGCAGAGAAAGAGTTTTACGTTTAAAGTATACCGAATGTCGAACACCCAATATGGCGGATACTCGAAAAATTCTTCAGAGGCACCCACGTCCTCGTGATCCTCGCATTAACGATCTCTGATTCGAACAATAGCTAATTCGGTAGGTAGACAGAAATACCTACCGACCTACCTACCGGGGATGATGCATCGTCGTCTCGACGTGTGGTGAAATTGGAATAAAATTCGGTTTCGGAATCGCGTTTGAAAAGATCCCTATGGATATTTCTCGGGACGCAGCGGATTAGGATTAAAGGTAGCATTGGGCGACCGTCATCCATCATCTTAAATCGCTTTCGAGCGTGAACTAACCTGGAGTGACGAGGTTCAGGTAATCACCGAAGCCTCTTTCGAATCGTACGGCCCATAAAATAGCTAAGGCGAGGGCCAGCAGGCCGGCCAGATTCATGGAGAAAACGGTAAAGTAGAGTGCTTTCACGGAGGACCAGCTGTAAACGGCATTTACCAGGCCCATGTATTGCAGGCTTTATAAATGATTGTCACTCGTATCCAACCTGTCATCGTAGACAGGTTGCGCGATGCCTCTAATTAACTCTTGCAACCGGTCACGATATAAAATTTGCCTTTTCCTTAAGGTTATGGAGTCTGAAGTATCGTGCAACCGTTCGACTCCATTTGGCGCTATCTTCGCACCGTAATTTCGAACGCGAACAATTTCAAGGTATATCAAATTCGAAGCTGTATATTTTATATCAAATGGCACGCGAAATGGACACGGTCATTTTAGAAAGACTATTTATTTATTTATTTATTCATTCATAACTCTTTTTTTTTTTTCGTGATATCGATCTATATCAGCACTGTAATATAGATAGGATTAATAGTAATAACCATGGATGTTACGATAATAAAAATACAGAGACGATAGTAAAGTAATAAAATTAGTTACGCTATTACAGTGTCTGTATCAATAACTGAATACGTAAAAATATGTATTGCGTTAGCGTTTATAGTGTTCCTCAAAATACGTGCATAGAACAATAAATCGTAATACAATATATGGTAATAACAACTGATACTCGGATTGGACTCGTTAAAAACTATAAAAAACAGTAACAACGACGACGAGGATCGCGATAAACTCGCATGGTTATCACGAAAGCCTCGCCATAAACGCCGTATCAACCGGCTACAATATAGAAACGAGTGCCACACGTGTTCCATCCTCTCCTATCTCATCCTTCATTTCTCTCGAATTAACAATAACCTCGATTACCTCATCGAGAACAATCGATCGCTGTATACTCCTCATCCACGATCCCTTTTCCATTCTCGAATCGCTAACAATCCAAATGAATGAACAACGAAACGTGCACTCGAATGTATCCCTCTCACGCGTATAAAATCATTAAATAGAGAGGATTATGCTCTATTACAATCGGACCGAGTTCTGGTCAGGCTTATCGTAAAACCGGTCCTACAAATGGCGAATCGTTCCTCCATCTTTATACTACAGACTTAACGGCTAACAAACCCTAAAAATGCATTGGCACTTTCGTGTGAGAAAAGTACGATCGCTGTTCCCGCGGATCCATCACGGCGTGTTATACATAGCACAATTACCAATGAAAAAATATCGATATATCTGCACGATACGCGCGATCGCAATCGTAAAGAAGAAAAAACACCCTGAATCGTCTAGAACTGCGTCGACGCAGCGTTTAATTGCCCGTAACCACAAACCGACTTCGCCTATATCTCGCCTTCGATATTGCATCTACGCCATTTTCTTTTTCCATCTCGCATCCAAGTCCCCGTCGAACCTAACCTAACCAACGAATCGGCTTGTCCCCGGATTAATCGCGAACGCTTAGACGAGATTCCGATCCAGCAGAGTTTCAAAGAGGTCAGGTTCAACCTGCAGTAGTCCACTGGCCGACATGCTAGGGTCGTAGTCGTAGCTTTCGAACGGCATGATGGGCGAAGAGGGCGACACCATCGACCCGCTCCCGTTCATAAACGAGCCGGAGGACAGCTGCTTTCTCGACGGTGGGCTGAGTTGCTCGAACGACGCGCTGGATCCTTTGGAGTCTGGACATTGAGGCACCATTTGATGATTTTCCAGGTTCACCGACAGCGGGGACATCAGGCTCTTCGGGTACATCGACGGCACGTTCCGCGAGTCCATCAAGTTTTCCTGAACAACCCAACCAATCGTTATACCTCGTGCATCGATTTTTCCTAGTCTATGGCGCATCGTGGAGCATCGCATGGCTCTCGAATCTTAACGCAGATTTTAATCAACCCTATATAGGGTTAGGGCTACAGTTAGTATTACGTAACCGCTGGGATGAGGTCGGTGTAATTGGCAAATGGCTGTAATTACGCCGATCGAACGTTAATTTCCAGGCAAAAAGCGAATCGACTAATTCTAACTTACGTTTAATGGGTTTCTTAATTAGACACCACAGGGGGCATAAAGATAGAGCGATACTCGCGTAACAAAACGTTTCTGACTCCACCGAGTTATATCGACTCCATCCCATCGATTCGCAGACGAATATTCGTTTATTATTCGATTTCGAAGTCACGCAGATATCCTCTACGATGCGCCATATGACGAACCTCAGCCCTCCAATATACGAGCATGGTGTTTTATATCTCATCGACGAGTGTGTCTCGTGTGAATGTAAATTATGCTGCGTTTCGTATGATAGACTAGGAGAATGGGGAATATTCTTAGATAGAAAAGATGCCGAGTTCAAGGTACTTGTTATCACGTTTATTCGCACAATCGTTTTACGATTAAGAATTTCAAAATGGTGCGCGATACGTCCCAGTTCTGCCATCGAGCTTGGTATACTAAGTTTTTCCAATTAACAATTTGCTGTTACGAATATATATCTCGACATATCGATAAGACCGATGCAAGATGCTTAATTAAATAATCGGAACTACGATGTTCCTTCGTTTATTCCAAGAAACGTAACACGCGAATCGTGTTTTATCGTTTATCATCGTTCAAAGTTTTCATCAATTGTCATTACGGAAAGCAATCGATGCAATATCTTTGAAATAATCTCGTTGCTAACGTTAGAAGGGGAAAAATATGTTTCATAATCTATTACACTATGATAACGACGCGTTGCTTCGTTATATTCGATACATTCGTTAACGACGAACGTGTCGTTTGGTAAAAACTCGCTCGTTATACTTCACCCGAGGACGTAGCATAATATTAAAATGGCGGTAATGTTAAAAGCACGACACGATCTCTTCCTCGGTGAACATGGAGATCGAGTGGAGAGCGGAAGGATGAGAAAGGAGGAAACGAAACGCAGCAGTTCAGATGATTCGATGCTCAATGTTCAATGTATTTGGACAATCTTCAATCAACAATTTCATATACTTTTGAAGTAGAATACATAACGTGACGTTGAACAGCGACACGATTAAACGAACTACGATCGAGCGAAGTTACATCTCTCGTCTCGCCCAACGAGTCGCCCGTGTCGTTCAGAGACAGGGGAAACGCGCGTACTCTATACTGTATCAACATCGATCCGACCTTTTGTACTTTTGTCACCTCGACTCTCTAAATACTCTTTATCTCTCGCTTAGATCCCTCGTTCGCTCGATCTTCCTTTCTTTCTCTCTCTCTCACTCTCTCGGCGATCATGGTCGCGACTACCGAACCGAGTACATCGCGGTTATACTCGTCTAGAAAACTTGTAAAACTCTTCTCGAGAACTGCTAACTCTCCGCGCGTTAGTCCTTGGCCGTTTCGTCGTCCGAGCCTCGAGAAGCGGTTACCTCCGGACTGATCCCGCGCGCATCGTGAATCGTCGCGGAACATTGGTCGCGAGAACGCGTGGAGGAGAATAAAAAAAGATCAAAAGAATCGGTCAACGATTCAACGTAGGAAGCGTTCGTGAGATCGGTGGACGGTCGATCCGTCGCGACGCGGTGTTCTTTAACGTCCGTGTACTCGAACTAGCGGCAAAAATGGCCGGGACGCTGAGAACGCGGTTAACGATCTACGAAAGACCCAACGTTCCAGGTAGAAGACATACTGTAAGACGATCGCGAGTTGGAACGTTCGTCCGGTTCACGTGCTCGCTATACTCTTGGAGGACTTGGGTTTCGCGAAGCAAACGTATCCCGCACTCACGTCGCAGCCAGATACCAGGAGATTCATTAGCACGCTGTTGCACGTTGGATTCCGCTGAGAGATCTGACTGATCGCGTCGCCATTTTCTACGCCGTTCCGACGACACCTTCCGTTTTCGTCCGTCTTGCATTTTCTTCCACCGCCATCGCCGATACCACCGCCGCCGCTGTCCGCCTCGGCATCCTCTCCGTCTAGTTCTGCATTCTGTATTCGATTACTCAGTCGACCGTTCACCGTGCCTTCGAACGATTCGTTCGCGAAGTTGTTCCGCAGAACGTTCTGATGAGACACCAGGCGACGCAGCAATTGACTATTGCCAAAGTTGGACGACTTTCTCGAGGACGGCTGCTGCTTGGTCAGTAGATGATCTTCGAGATCGGGGTGACCGCTGCGTTTCGAGGACTCGTCGCATTTGATCCGCTTATTGTCGTTCTCTACGTCTATCGAGGCAGTGTGAATGCGCTTCGTTGGTCTGTCCATCTTGGAGAACCAGTGGCAGTTATCTAGATTTACGCCTGAGACAGGACAATGACGATCAATCGCTTAGCAAAGGCGTGAAACGCTGCAACGGGATTAGAAAAGACTCACTTTTTCTAGGGATTTGACCGAGAACTTGGACCGGGTTCACTAGGCCTCCGCCATGGTCGTTGTACTTCCTGGACACCACCTGGTCCGTCTTCAGTAGCTGCGCTAGACTGGAATCGCTCGTTCGTTGCTCCTTTTCAGCTATCATCCTGCAAACGATACGCAAAAGTACTCGATATTCTCGCCTAGGTCCCCCATACGATCCTAACTATCTACCACCTGTTCGTTTCGTACCATTTCGGACAACTCTTTTGATCCGTCGCGTGCGGAGGGCTCCACATGACCATGTCGTTACTGATCAGTAGATCTAACGCCTCGTCCTGATCGGACATCGGGATATAAGGAGCTCTCAGCTCTAACTCGTCATCGGCTATGCTGTCGTTCAGACCTAACATCAACATCTCGTCTTCCGACAATCCATCCGCTCCGCTGCCAGCTGTCGGGCTGCCCAACGAATCTATACTTCGTTCTGGACTCTGCAAAGCAACGCGAAACGAGATTAAACCCTACAGTTACGATTACGGGACGCATGATTAACGCGCGAGCGACCATCGGAGGACTCCTGGAAGAACCGGTAAGCCGTGGTTACCGGTACACCTCGAGGAGTCTCTGGACAATGGGCTGGCAGGATCAGATAGATCGACTCACTTGACGGTACTTGCCAAGGGGCGGTGAAACCGCGCTTGGATCGATGCTGCAAGGACTGCTCGGCGAGTCGCCGTACATGAACGGATCGCTGTCGGCCAGAGACTCCCCTAGATCCTTGCTCCTCGGAGTGTCTCCCAACTCGGTGTCCTTGAGGGGGTCGCTGAAGTCCGTGGATCGCAGTTCGGGGGGTAGAGCTCCGCCGGGGCTGAGCAAAGGACAATAGTTGTCGCTGCCAAGGATAAACTCGTCGAGCATGTCCGTGAGGAAAGGCGTGTCTTCGAGGGGGACGCACACGTCGCCAGGTGTAGGCGCCAGATGCGTTAAATCCTCCGGCTCGTCCTTCAGCACTGTAACATCCCGTAGGAGAAATTCGATCGACCGTCTCGCGTACACAGCGACCGGTTTACTTCCGGGCCAATAAATAATACGAGCAGCCAGTCTCTTTGCCTCTGGGGCACCGCGCGACAGGCAAGATTTACTGCCTACGAAATTGTTCGTCTCGGCTACGAGTGCTTCTCCCTCCCGTTATTATCCTTTGCCCCCTCTCTGCGTGCTCTTCGGTGTTATCGACGCCTGGAGCTCTGCGTGTTGCAACATTTATCTCTCGATTATTGCGCGAGCCGCGAGAATCTGCGAGAGATACGAAAACGAGCCAGGCGAATCGAAGAACGGGAGGGAACGACACTCGTTGCGAAGAGATATCGAGAAACGAGAAGAAGGACACCCACTCGTAAGACCTGGATGATCCTCGCTGAAAGTCAAGAAGCCTTTGTTCATGTCCTTGGTACGAGGTGCGAAGATACTCGCTGTAGCAGTCTGAGGCGGTGGTCTGCAAGTGATCTGCTCTTGCTGTTGCTGCTGCTGCTGCTGCTGCTGCTGACTGGCGATCGAAGTGAACAGGTGTCTGGTAACTACGTGCGGCCTGTTCTGACGAACCGCGGTCTCCGGATCGTATTCCAACGCGGGTTTACCCTGAAAGATCGTTCCATGAGGCTGAATATTCATCGCTAAGGAGCACCACGAGCTACCCTAGACACACACGTACCTGGAACACGAAGGGAGCTCGGCTGCTAATCGGTTGCTGACGACTCTGCTGCTTCTTCTTTGGCTCGCTGTTCTCCTTCAACGATTCTTCGAGAGACTCCTTCAGAGCCTTCACACCGGCGAACGATTTCTCTGTAGACTGGACCGGTCTCGGGAAGGTGTTATCCTTCCGCGAGCCGTCCCGAAGCTGAACAACCTCTTTCTTCGGCTTGACGTCCGCAGCGCGGAAGATCAAGCTAGTCACTGTCAACGGCTTGGCGCGATCGGTAGCAGGTTCCGGTTTCACCACCGACACGGAGAACTGTTGCTCGTTGTCCAACGAGCTCTCCTCGAGCTTCTTCCTGTTCACTTGCACCTGAAGACGGAGCTTGGTCGTTCGCGGCGGCTCGACGGCGTCGCTAGAGACAGCCGGCTCCAACTTCACGGCCTTCTCGGTGTCACGAGCTGCGAGCTGCCGCGCGCTGTACACCTCATCCTCGCGCTCCACGCCGCTGAAAGCAGAAATCCTACCTGGTGGAAACTGATGGCGCGTGACCACTCGTCACCACTCTCCGATCACCCGATCAACCACCCTTCTGTCTCTACTCGCGCCTGACATGTCAACGATGAGCGAATCTGCTCATTCGTGACACGTTTTCTTGGACACAGTTGGAGAGAGAGAGAGAGAGAAGTTAGCTAGGATCTTTAACCGTTTGAGTCCCAAGCAGCGCGATCGCGCTCTTCTGTCGAAAAGACGCGCTCAACTTTGCTGAGGCATGTACGTTACATAGTACCAACAAGCGCTATCGCGAAGATTGGGATTTTTTGACATAAAATTAAACAAGCGCCATCGCGCCGTTTGGACTACTTCGCACTCCATTAAGGCAAGCGCTATCGCGACGATTGGGATTTTTTGACATAAAATTAAACAAGCGCCATCGCGCCGTTTGGACTACTTCGCACTCCATTAAGGCAAGCGCTATCGCGACGATTGGGATTTTTTGACATAAAATTAAACAAGCGCCATCGCGCCGTTTGGACTACTTCGCACTCCATTAAGGCAAGCGCTATCGCGACGATTGGGATTTTTTGACATAAAATTAAACAAGCGCCATCGCGCCGTTTGGACTTCTTCGTACTCCATTAAGGCAAGCGTTATCGCGCTGTTCGGGATTTTTCAACCGTGTTCTTCCGAAAGCCTCTAGGACTCAAACGGTTAACGATCACGGTGATCGAGATGAACGAAGAGAAGGGTGGCGAAAGTGGCTCGCTCATGCTGCACATAACGCGACCATCGACTAGACCGAGATCGAGCTCAGTCTACGGCCTAGTTAGGCGTCCCCCCTCGTGTACTCCGCTTTGTTCACTCTTTCATTCGTTCATTCGTCCGGGTCCTGACCCTCGTACGCAGCGGAGCACATGGCCACGGTTTTTAGCTCGCGAGACCCCCTTACGTAACAATCACCGTTCAACCTTACGAAAGCTCCTTCGTCAGATCGAGTTCCCTCAATGAAGATTCTCCTTTTCGATCGCGAGTGGCTACTGCCAGCGAGCCGAGGTCGATCCTCGAGCTTGCTGCCATTACCACGGTCAGACTTTTAGGCCTCGTTCGAATAATCCGAGATTCACCGCGTTTGCCAAGCCTGTTTGAGATTTAGAATACGAACGAACGCGCAATCTTCGACTAGATCCGAATTCGCGCCGATGGAGCACCTACGTCTGGCGACCTCTAGATAAGCACTCGGTTATCCGGTTACGCGGGGCCGATAACGTTGCATAGGGTAATCGTTGCGAAACTCGATCGTTACGTGGTCGGTTTGCCTTCGCTTGCCAGGCGAGAACGTGGATCTCGGGCTGGTCCGAGCGGTACGACGCTGTTCGCCGATTTGCGGTCCCAATGTTAACAGTGACAGCTCGGACAGGGGGCCAAAACGCGTCAGGGACAGCGCAGAGGAGCGAGCGCACGCCGATCTCTGGCGTGGAGCCGCGGCTTTCTCGCTCCGCTCTCGATATAGGTTATCGCGAAGGTTAAGGCTGCTCGCGCTAGCGGCCGATCTAACACGCGCGATCGCGCGCGTGTAAACGGACCGCGAGCAATTTTCTCTATCGGCGATAGGGAAAAAAAGAAATCCGTCCTTATCCGTGGACAGATTCGTGCCGGATAACCCTTTAATTGCGTAGGTCAAGCGTGGCTGAGGAAAGAAGCCTCGCGTACCTCGGCGTCTAACTTCGTCTTAAATTACGAACATAAAGCGTGAATTTCGAGACAACTCGTTGTTTAATTCGTTTCATTGGCGAGGAAAATTGAAAGGGGGCACTTCACCAGCAACGAGTACCAAAGGGAAATATCGAATTTCTAATCTAGCTCGGCAGCAAATGGGTAACAAATTTATAATTCGCGTGGTAATGAAATTCAAAGATGGCGGACCTAGGAAGGCAACGCGAAGAACCGACATCCCGGAAAATCTTGGAAATTTCTCAACTACCCCCGTACCCTAGTAATCGCGAATTGGATTAATAAAATGCGAACGAGAGAAATGAAAGCAATGGCGGAGAGGGAGAGAGAAAGACGAAACTTCTAATCTACCTCGGCGTCGAAATAGCCGATAACAGGGACGTGCACAGCGGATGATATCTTTTTGGGGCACGCAGCGGCCCGGGGGTTAACCCGACAGCAACGAGAGGGGCAGAGGAAGATAGAGGGAGCGCGAAGGGAAGGCGCGTGACGTCTGACGAGGATGGCGCGTAGCGACGCGCAGCGTATATACCGAGCCGAGCACTAACTAACTTTAACCAGTCGCAACGGCTCGGTAATTGTCGCAAATTGACCAGCGGGACCCCAAACGTGGAACGGCAGGAGCGTCGTCGCAGCCGCCTCGTGGCTGCGCGTAAATCACGCGCGAGAATCTCAACGGGAACACGTCCACGCTTCATCCGATTTTCACCGGTATTGCCAACACGCCACACTCGCTTCTAACCTAACTTTCCTCCGATTTCGTCGTCTATCACCGAATTTCAAAATTTCTTAAAAAATTTTTTAAAAATTTCCGGAGAATTTCAAGCTTGGGGAAGATTCGCGACGTTATGCCGCGTTTCCATGTTTCATCCGATTTTCACCGGTACTGCCAACAGATAACACTCGCGTCTAACCTAACTTTCCTCCGATTTCGTCGTCTATCACCGAACTTAAAAATTTCTTAAAAGCTTGTTGCAATTTTTGCAGAATTTCAAGTTTGAGGAAGATTCGCGACGTTATGCCGCGTTTCCATGTTTCATCCGATTTTCACCGGTACTGCCAACAGATAACACTCGCGTCTAACCTAACTTTCCGCCGATTTCGTCGTCTATTACTAAACTTAAAAATTTCTTAAAAGCTTGTTACAATTTTTGAAGAATTTCAAGTTTGAGGAAGATTCGCGACGTTATGCCGCGTTTCCATGTTTCATCCGATTTTCACCGGTACTGCCAACAGATAACACTCGCGTCTAACCTAACTCTCCGCCGATTTCGTCGTCTATTACTGAACTTAAAAATTTCTTAAAAGCTTGTTACAATTTTTGAAGAATTTCAAGTTTGAGGAAGATTCGCGACGTTATGCCGCGTTTCCATGTTTCATCCGATTTTCACCGGTACTGCCAACAGATAACACTCGCGTCTAACCTAACTTTCCGCCGATTTCGTCGTCTATTACTGAACTTAAAAATTTCTTAAAAGCTTGTTACAATTTTTGAAGAATTTCAAGTTTGAGGAAGATTCGCGACGTTATGCCGCGTTTCCATGTTTCATCCGATTTTCACCGGTACTGCCAACAGATAACACTCGCGTCTAACCTAACT